AGATTAAAAGCAAGTCTCAATAATATATTATTACAGAAAATACATAGAAAATCTACTCACACCAAGATTAATATATATTGGGTATTATGTGTATTATGATTGTGTCTGTAGCTGCTAAGTGTTGATAACTAAAATTACTGTAGAACCTGCACCACGTCAGGCATAGTGCTAAAAAAACTTTCCATCTTCTTTCTGTACTGAATTCTATAGAAATAAAGTCAAGTAACTATTTGTCCAGTCATAGGATCAAAATATTTCAAAAGTAGGGGAGATGCACACAGCCTGTGGTAGTGCACCACTAAGTGCAGGCAGGAGTTACAAATTTAGGGAACTTTAAAAAGAGCTTTTCAGCTAGATCCCTGCTGTCTGAGCATCCACTACAAAAATAAAAAAGCTCCGTGAAGTTTTACCAAATGTTAAGTAGATGAGGACAAAGCTAAATGCAAAAGAGTTGCAGATGCTATTCTAATACATAACCGGAAGAAATGAAAAGGAGTGACTATGTGCAGTCTCTTTTGGAACATGAGTTCTCAGGGTTTACAGTGAATACGCAAAAGAGGTGTGATGACAGGAAAAAATGGAAGTAAAAAGAATAGTCTTAATAACAGAGGTTCAGAAACTGATATTATCTTTATCAACATTTTCTCCTTCAAGGCAAACTTCTTAACAAGTAGGTGTGCATCATCCAGAAAACCAAAAATCACCTGTCATAAAAACATGAGCAAAATATAAAATAAGAGGCTTCAATCTGTAGACTGGAAAACTAGAAAAGTTGAAAAGACATGGTGCAAGTTGTCCAGTAATTTTGCATATCAAAGCAGTTATGGACACAATCTTACGTAATTGAGTCCCAAGGGAACTGGCTGATGTTGTTGCTAAGCCGCTCTCCATCATATTTGAAAAGTCACAGCAGTCAGGTAAAGTCCTCAGTGACTGGAAAAAGGGAAACATTGCTCCCATTTTTAAAAAGGGGAGAAAGGAAGATACAGCAAACTACGATCTGGTAAGCCTCCCCTCTGTGCCAGGCAAGACCATAGACCAGATCCTCCTAAAAGACATGCTAAGGTACATAAAAACCAAGGTGGTCTGAGGCAAGCCAGCACAGCTTTACTAAGGGCAAATCCTGCCTGAACAATTTAGTGGCCTTCTTTTATGGAGTGATGGCAAGAGTCAACAAGGGAAGACTGATAGATGTTAGCTGTCTAGATTTCTGTAAGGCCTTTCATATGGTCCATATGATATTCTTATCTCCAAACTGAAGAGACATGGATTTCATGGATGGCCCTTTCAGTGGATAAGGAACTGGCTGGATGAGCCAGAGAGTTGTGGTTGATGGTTCTATGTCCAGGTGGAGACCAAGGACAGTTGATGTCTCTCAGGGCTCTGTCTTAGGACCAGTGCTCTTCAATATCTTCATCAATGACACTGATGGTGGGATCAAGTGCACCCTTGGCAAGTTTGCAGATGACACAAAGCTAGTGGTGCAGCTGAGAGAACAGAAGGACGGCATGCCATCCAAAGGGACCTCGACAAAATTGAGAAGAACTGGGCCCACAAGAACTTCATGAAGTTCAGCAAGTACAATGAATTGCACCTGTGTTGGGCAATTCCAGATATAAACACAGAGTGGGACAAGCCATTGAGAATGGCCCTGCCAAGAAGGACTTGGGGATTCTTGTGAATGAAAAGCTGGACATGAGCCAAAACTGTGCACTCGCATCCCAGAAGGCCAATCACATCCGAGACTGCATCCAAAGAGGCATGACCAGTAGATCAAGGGAAGTGATTCTCCTCCTCTATTCTACCCTTGTGAGACCCCACCTGGAGTACAGCATTCAGCTCGGGGGTCCTTAATACAAGAGAGATGTGTATCTGTTCGAATATGTCCACAGGAGGGCTGTGAAGATGATCAGAGGGCTATAGAACCTGCAACAAAAACAGGCTGAGAGAAGTGGGGTTGTGCAGTCTGGAGAAGAGAAGGGAGACCTCATTGTGGCCTTTCACTACCCTAAAAGGCCTTATAAAAAAGGAGAGAGACTTTTTGTACAAGCAGAGAGTGACAGGACAAGGGGCAATTGTTTTAAACTGAAAAAGGGCAGGCTTAGATTAGATATCAGAAAGAATTTTTTTACTCAGAGGGTAATGAAGCACTCAGACAAGTTACCTAGAAAAGCTGTGGATGCCCCATTCCTGGAAGTGTTCAAGGCCATGTTGGATGGGCCCATAGCAGGAAGGTTGGAAGTAGATGATATTGAGGGTCCCTTCCAACCCAAGACATTCTATAATTCTATGGTTCTATAACAGCCTGTATTTCTTAATTGTGGCCCAACAAGTCTTAAATTACAGAGATACTCAAGAGCTTATTGAAAATTGTTTACCAAAGCTTATTTTTATCAGAAAAAAATATGACTTCTTAATTATATATTGTTTTGAGTGGCATTTTTCTTAGAATACCAATTCAAAATAAAACATCTGAAGAGTGTAAAAGTTCAAAGCTAAAAATATTCCCATAGTTTTTTCAGGTTTTTTTGTGTCATATGCTTTGTTTTCTACAGAAATCCAGGAAAAATATGGCATAGAGAATCTATAAGAGAGAAAACAGAAGTCATTTTGCTTCAGTGGATCACTTAAAAACAGAGAGCAGAACATTAAACTTTTTCACTCTCCATATTGGGTCAAAAGCAAGAATTTAACAAAGCAAAGGAAAATTGTCCAATACTGAGACATTTACAGAAAATATCTTAAATGTAACAAAACATCATCTCCCACAAAAAGGGAGAAAATATTTTGAAGCAAGATAACTTCTATTCCTTGATAATAACATAATCTTGTGTGGGAAAAGGAACACCAGATAACATGACGCAGATGAGTTAACTTCTTCATTAAGTGGACCAAAACAGTGGGATAGGCCATGTTAGGTAAAGAGTTGTCCACACACGTGCACATGCGCATGATTTCATGCCAGAAAGTTGAGGCTACAGAAAAAGTGACATTCCTTCTAGTACTCCCTCTAGTCTGTCTGTGACAGGGTGTGCCTAAGGGCATGGCAGACAATGCTTTCACCATTTCATCCTGGATTCTCTGTTTCTATGTGCTGCCAGATGTCCATGTACCAGTTTTCCCAAACTCTTGTTGCTGGGGGTGTTCATGGCCACATGCTGTCTCAAATGGATACACGATGTTATCACACTAGGCCTTTCCAGCTGTTTCAGGCATTGTTCTCCTGGCACTTTTTGATCCATGGTCCATACGATGTCTCATTCCACTCAGTTCATGCTTTCTTGTTTGCCTGCCTGTCAGCCATGGCTAATTATCCTTAGGCACCTTAAGTAAAGGGCTGCAATACTCTTGCAGCATACAAAAAAGATTCTGGAGACAAAAATATCAAATATTTGGAAAAGAACAAAAGTTTAAACATTGTATGAAGAAGATTTGCTTTCAGCCATCACAAGATATTTTGCCATCTGTACTGTCCAGAGGTTTTGGAAATCTATCACAGCACAGAATATCCAAATAATTTGGCATTGAGATGGCCTATTCCTTGGAAACCCTGTGTTTTGTAACCCATATGGGTTTAACTGCAAGGAATTCCCTTAGGTCTTTAGGAACAAAGCATTAGCTGAAACAATTGCTGTCACTAATGACGCTTTGAAAGGACTCAGGAATAAAGATTGGTTGCTAGAAGGGATTTTCCAGAGCTCGTCAACAAATCATTTCTACTTTGCACATTCAAGATACTTGCAAGGAATGTACTGACACTGTCATGCCTGCAGCACAGCTTGTAAGCCTTTCTTACAACAGTAGTATGCTGGTGGAAGCAGAAGCCTGTATCCATGGAGCTCTATCCCTACTCTTATGTTCTTTACTTATCTTTCTATTCCAATGAGGACAAAAAAAAGACCTAGTTTCTTTTTGTCAGACTCTTTTGTTTTCTTTTTAACTCGTTCTAAATGACAAAATGATATTGGTCAAAATGATAGCTGGGGATGGGAAAACTCTCAGGAAAATGTGTCTCTCCATGTTGCTGGACAAAAACACATTTTACAAAGCACTGGCATTGATGATGACATGAGGCCATATCTGGGGTGGTGCCATGTCGGCACACATGAAAATGATTTGCCATCATTGCTACCGTCTGTACCCTTGGCATCCTAAGTCCTCTTGCCTTGTCCATACCAAGCCCCTAATGCCTCAGTTTATTATTTGCTCACTCCATGCACTGTAACCATGTGCATATGGTTACAATCTCATTTTGAGGATGATTTTAAGATTTCACATGAAGAGTACTTGTTTCAGCATTTTTAGAGGTATTTTCAGCTTTGATGTTTACCAATATGAATAACCTGTGGGACATCTCTGGAGAACACAACTTTACTCCTAAAAACACTTACTGTTCCTTATTTTCACACTTATATCTGGCAGTCAAGTTACAAATTAATTAAATTCTTAGACATTATTAGTTCCCACACCTCCTCTTACTCCTAATATATTTTTAGAGAAACAAAAAAAACACATTTGAAATTACCCTAAGTTTACATTGAGCGCTGAGACAACTCTTTCAAAACACATTTTGGAAAAAGTGGGTGTTAATCCCTTATGCCTCAAGGGCTCATGTATAAACCTGTGTCCTAGTTAGAACAGCTGGGACCAATTCATCATTGTATGGGTGTAACCCGAAACTGTGTATTCTATAGCCTTCCATGCCATTTCCCAGAAACTGTTATCAATGAACCATTTACACCCTCTGCCCATAGAGCCTGACTCCTCAGGCTACAAACTGAGTGTTAAGAGGCCTGTGAGATAGGAAGATGTTCCTGTCCTCACACCCTTTTATGGAATTCCCTGCTCTGAGGGAAGGACTGAGCATTCCTGCCTGAACTGGAGAATATATAAACTTGGAGTTTTGGAACCTTTTTTTCCACTCGTGGGATCCAGAGGAAGACTGCAGCTCACCGCTCTCAACCAGACTGAGACCACCACCCTCAGCTGGACTGCAATCACCACTTTTGACCAGACTGCAACAGCTCTCCCACCAGCAGGTTTTTTCCCCTCTCCCTTTACTTTGGACTCGGGGGCCCAACGAACAACACTTTGTTCATGCCCCAGGGTGCTGGGTTATACAGTTGGGTTTTGTGGGTTAAGACCAGTTGTTTGTCTGTATAATCGTACTTATTGTATTATTTTATTAAATTGTTATTCTGATTTATAATCTCTCTTTTGAGTTGAGTTCATTTCCCCTGCTGGTTAACTTTTAAACCAGCACAACCTGACTTAATAAAAACTTGGTATAATAAAAAAATTTTGCTACTAGAAGGAACCTCAATTAATATAAGTGAAATATTTAGGAAACTTCAGATGAAAGATGCTATGAACTGTCAAAATTTTTATATTCTAATATATTCCTTGAGACAGTTTGGCCCAAAGTAAGCAACTCTCCTTCTAGCTAGAGGCTGACAGATGTATTTTGTGATGAATTGTTTGTGTTGAATGAACAATTTCAGAAGTTATTCTGATTTTTCTTTTTTAATTTTAGGTTTTCTGAAGGTTATCATCTGCAATTCTATGATTATACTGGGGAAAGGGAAGAAAAAGGCTAAGTATAAGCATGTATGTGCCTGATTGAAATCATGAAGCTGAAATATAAAGTTTTGTGCTGGAAGGATCTGTAGCTAAGTGACAGCTAAAAATAACTTCATTCAGGACAGATGGGTGATGTGGGTGCTATTCAACTCTTTTACTGGACTTTTCAACCTTTAGGCATGTTTTATTAAGCCATTCTTAAGATCAATATGAAAAAAAATTGCCTACAATATGATAATATAACAGATGGGGTTATATTAGATGGGGTTATATTAGGTGGGGTGAGCTTTAGAGATTTCTACAGCTTACAGTTTTGTGTGCTTGGGGTTTTTTAAATTCTAATATTCAGGTTTGGAAGATATTGAAAAAGATGATTTTCACAATAATCTTTGCACAATGGCTATTATCTATAGAAATTGCTATGTCTGTTAACAGTATCCTTTAAAACTTCTAATGTCAGAAAGAAAATGTATCTATTTAAAAGTTATTAATACTAAAATTAAATGGCAGAGTGCCCTCTACTGTCTCACAGTATTAGCACCAAACAGTAACAAAAATTAGGTATTTGTAATGCATAAAGAACCATGGTCCAAAATCTAAGAGATCAACTGCTGTATTTAATTTGAAACATGCTGGACTCATTAAAAACAGATTTAGATCTCTCGCACGTCTTGAAAAGGTGATGGTACCATACACTGTATGTAGCTTGAAGAAACAGTCTGGTTTCTCCAGTGAACAATATTCATAATGCAGCAATGTTATACATCATCACTTGACAAAAGGCTTTCCAAAGTATGAAAATAGGAACTAAGCATGTTCTGTTACATTTTCTACATCTCATCAGAGCCTACAAGTTCAGCAGAAATTGTGAAATTCCTGCTTCTGCACAGTCTTTCCTTCCTCTAATTCCCTATGACAAAAATGGGCTGCTGACCTAAGATCTAAGCTTAAAAAAGCTTGATAGTTGCACACCATCAAGAAGAATAGTTTCACCTCAGCCATCAAATACAAAGCTTCTTGTGCAAACTGGAAATACTTGCACAGAGGTGGCAATAGCTGATTGCTGACCTTCAGCAAATGTCCCACATAAGGAGGAACATTTTAACACCTGTCTGTGCTTCCAGTTTCTACCAGGATTTTGTTTATGATTATTATTATTATTGTTGTTGTTGGGTTTTTTTGTTACCAGAACTACTATTATTATTAATTACCAGGAATAGTATTATTAGTTAGCAAGATTACTCCTGGTAATCTCTAGAAGTGTGCATACAGGCCTGATAAGTAGACTTCATACCTCTCTTTTTACTTTAATATCAGAGTAGCAGGAAGTGAGAGCTTTTCTTAGGTTACAGGGAATTTAAGAATTCCACAAAGTTACTTTAGACATAATGAAATGAAAAATATGTAAAATGGGGATTATTTATTACTTTTGCAGACTGAGAATAAGAATAGAAATAGAACCACTGATGCTTATTGCACTATTACTTGGCAGGCCTTTTGACACGAGGATGTGGAGAGCACACCACCAGTTGGCTTCACAGTCAAGTGAAGTGCTGAAGTTGTGACCTCCAGACACCTCTGAAATTGCAGTGCATTAATACCCCTGGTTGCCAAACAACATCCCAGTATTCAGTGGAAGATACCTTCAGCTTTATTCTGTTTTCAGACTCTCAGTTGAAGGTTAGAGTATTAATACACAGTAAATATTCTTAAACTCTCAAAATGTCTGGCCTTGAGTAAAAGCATAAATTTTGTTTTGGCTGGATGGATAAAATAGTTGTACAAAGAAAACAACAGATTTTTTTTCCTCAAGTCTCTGAGAAGTTTATGCACATTAATATATATCCTCAGCACTCTGAAATATGGATTTATTATCAGCCCTGTTGTACAGTTGGAGAATTAAAACTAAATGCACTATCCAGTTTCTGGCAACAGTGCCAGCATGGGAAATCAAATCTATGCTGAGTCCCATCCTACAACCTTAAACAGATCAGGTATGATGTGACCTTAGTGATTTTGGGAAACCCAAGAGACTCTACTAGACTTCCAGGTCAAAGCAAATAGTAACTTCCTGAAGCTCCAAAGTGAAAGTAAGGAGCAGTTTCTGGGAGAAGGAATGCTGAGGACATGGTGAAATGATCTATAATGTCCCATGCCTCTGGAAGTATACCCATTTTTAACAGCTATCTCAGCTTTAAACATAGCAGAGATAGCTATGGCAAATATGAGCACTGAAGAAATGAGGCTGCACACACCATGATTCAATTTTTGGGATTCTCCGTACAGCTCTCTGTCTGCATTCCCCTTTTATTAACCTCTTAGGGTAATAAACAGCACCTGGTGTTTCCATTCAGTTAACTAGAATTCCCAGGACTTTTTGCAAACTCCATGTATGCAAACTGACACACTCCTTCTAAGCTCTAAGGTCAAACACTCTCTTTTGATTCTAATTAACTGAATACAGGTGCTGCTGGCTTAACTTGTTGCCGCAAATAGCAGCTTCTGGTCTTTTGTAATGGACGTTGTGAGTTAAGCTATTTTCATATTTTTATTTTCATTTGGTGTACCAGGCTTTTTATCCTCCTGCTCAGGAGTGCTAAAATGATGGCATAAGCATTCCAGCTGCCTTCTGTTTGCTTTATATCTGTAATTCATTCTGCTCTTTGAAGACCATGCTTTAAAGGACTTGCCTACAGGACTTGGAGGAGCTGATCAGCTGCCTTAGCATTATCCTTCTGTCTGCCCCACTCATCACACAGGAACTGTGTACAACATTGGATCAGAAGATCACTGTAGGATTGATGAAGCTGATGCATCTGCAGTTTCCTTTGGACATCACCACTGATGTGTGCTGATGTCTATGTTTTACTGTATCTTTTCCTCATGGTTCAAATTTGCATTAAAGTAGCTGGAGCTGCTAACAAGCTACTATAGCCTACTGGAAAAGAGCTGTGAAAGGCCACCTTCTTTTCTCATGCTGAAGAAGTAAAGTATGCTTTTCTCTGTATCACTATTTGTTCTAGAAGCACCTCTGATTATATTTCACTTACAGGCTAAAATCAGAGAAATTCCAGGAATAACAGTCCCATCTCTAGAAGAATAGAAGATAAATAAAATTAGTCCCTTTTTCTTTCTCTGCTGTTCCCTTATAGTTTAGGAAATATTCATTTCCCAGCATCACCTGAAAATTCAGCAATAAGAGAGGATAGTTCTGGTTGCAAAACTTCCTACTAGCTGTTTGAACTTCCTTTCTTCCTGTTCTAAAGTTGCCATGTTCATCATGCAACCCCATATATGGGCTGAAGCTTCAGACATATGATACTTCCTGCATTACTACCCAGGACCTTCTGGGTTTCTTCCTATTCTTGTGATCTCAGGAAGATCCAGGAAGATGGGGATATGAAATGTTTGACTGGGACTGCCCAGCTAGTTAGTGCTTACAATTCTTGATTGTCAGGTATTAAAGATCAAATTGTCCAGCAAATCTCAATATAAATTAAGAAAATATGATTGTATACTGCACTGAGTTCTGGTTACAGTGGATTATCTAGCTCATCAATTGCATAGGGTTATAGATGAGTTTTGCCAGGGCTTCAGTCCTTCTGGGTAATATACACAGAGGAACTTTACAAACAAAACCTGCAGTGGCCACTGGGCTAAGTGGAACCTCAGTGAGCACTTCAAGAAACCAAACTTTAGACATAGGTGCTCAGAATGTATGTTAAATGTTTGAAATCTAGCCAAGGTATTTGTGGAATTCTCCTTATGCAATCAGCTCAGCATCAATCATGCAAACTGTGTATTGTCATGTCCACCATTAGATGTCTCGTACTAAGTACTTCATATTGAGTACCATTACAAGTGTAAGAGTCACACAGAGTTGTAACTAGTTTCCTCTCCTTGATGCATGGAACAGCCAAGCTTTGGAGGCAGCTTCTACAGCAAGCACTGAAGGCCTGTGGATATCCAAGTATTCTGATGCACAGCATATACCAGCTAACTTTTACAGTGCTGTGACTTCACTGTTTTCAGCAGAAACCCAGGATGTTCTACCTGTCTTAAAAAAAAAATAAAAATTTGGGAAATCTGCAGCTCCAGCTGCGAACATGTTTGAAGGTTTGAAGGGAGTGAAACCAGGCTCTCCAGAGATGAGCCTAAGGGTGATAAGCCCGAGCTAGGAGTGTAGTCAGCAGCCCAGCTGAAGTGCATGTACACCAATGCACCCAGTATGGATAGCAAACAGGAGGAGCTGGAAGCCATTGTACAGCAGGAAAACTATGACGTAGTCACCATCATGAAAACACGATAGGATGACTCACATGACTGGAGTGATGCAATGGATGGCTACAAGCTCTTCAGAAGGGATAGGCGAAGTAGGAGAGGTAGAGGGGTTCAGTATCTTAGGGAGTCTCTTGACTTTGTGGAACTTGAGGTTAGTGATGATAAAGTTAAGTGCCTGTGGGTAAGAATCAGGGGGAAGGCTGACAAGGATGACATCCTGGTCGGAGTCCGTTATAGACCACCCAACCAGGATGAAGACGTGGATGAATTATAAGATCCTGGCCCTTGTGCTTGTAGGAGGCTTTAACCTGTCAAATGTCTACTGGGAACTCAAAACAGTGGAAAAGAGGCAATCTAGGAGGTTCCTGGAGTGTATGGATGATAGCTTCTTGCCACAGCTGGTGAGTGAGCCTACCAGGGCTCGGGCCCTGCTAGACCTGCTGCTTACAAACACAGAAGGGCTTCTGGGAGATGTGGTGGTCAGAGGCTGTCTGGGCTTCAGTGACGGTGAATGATGAGGTTTTCAACACTCAGTGAAACATGAAGGGGCATCAACAAAACCTCCACCCTGGACTTCTGGAGGGCAGACTTTGGTCTATTCGGGATGCTGATTCGGAGAGTGCCTTGGGAAACAGCCCTGAAAAAACAAGGGGTCCAGTAAGGATGGATGCACTTCAAGAACAAAATTTTGAAGGCGCAGGAGCAAGCTATGTGCCGAAAGATGAGCCAGTGAGGAAGACAAATGG